TGAATTATATTAATCAAGTCAAATATCCGAACCAAATAATTCAGCTGTAATTAAATAATTCATTTAGTTTTCAGCCAAAAAAAACTTCTATGTATTATTAATTGAAGCTAAACCGATTATCATGATTCTAATGAGAATTTTACCTATCTTGTTTAGTGACGGTGACCTGTCTATTCAGTGCTATATTCCCAGTACAGTAGGGAATTTGACCGTGAAATACTTAGATATTTTCCTTTCGTTTGTTTAAACTAGAGAATGCATACATTTGCATATAATAAATAAAAATGACAATTAAAATGCCTATAATAGTTGTTAGTGGTTACATATCTTCAACCGCAAAGATTGTTCTCTGATCCTTATTTTGCGGAATATACGTCGCAAAATATAAGTGCGGAATAAGATATCGTAGAGATCTTGTTCTTCTATTTCAGAGAGTAGGTTCCAGCATACGTGTGTCTTGTTCCTTCACATTTCAGACAGTGGCCAGCCTTAAGTGTAGCACACGACCTATATATAGTCAATTAGCACTTACTAGTTTGCAACATTTTAAGTAATTACCTACAACCTTATGTTAAACATGATAAAATTGTGGCCCTTTTTTACATTCATACGAAAGGATGCCTACAGCTCGCTAAAAACTAACATCTCTAAATAGGCCTATTTCATTTCCCTACGCAGCTCTCAAAGAACTACTTAATTGTGATAAAACCTTTGATTCGGATCTGATTGAGTCCCGTGGTTCTTATAATCACATACAACTTTGATTAATTTCCCACATTAGATGTTTTATATGATCTTATTGTTGACACTAGTAGTATCAAATCAATCACTTCAACCTAAAAGTTGAAATCCTTGTTTACTTGGACACATAAATATTGGTACAAGAGGGCACCAGATATATATGTGCCGCACTTCATTTCATTTTAATTGGGTGAGGGGTGTTACACTGCCTGGGTGACCAGACCGAAGCAAGTGATCTCCTTAGGGGGCCACATCCCGGGCCTTCAACCTAAAGGTCTGACCCACAAAGTAATGGAGCAGCCCAAGGAGATGCAGTCCCATGCTAGTCGGTGACCAACGATTGGTTCATACGTCATTTGCTCCCTCAGGATCCCTGAGCTCATGTACCCCATTGTTTTGGACTCAGAGTTGCCCAACTCCCCTAGGTGGACTCACCGGCCCGGTTAAAGCACCGGATATTTGCTTTAGGCCCTCTCAACTTCGTAAACAACACCCCTGCCACGAGAAGGTAGTGGGTAGGAGTTCCCTGGCAGAGGCTGTACACGCATGGCCATGTGAAAATATTTCGAGCGGCAGACTGGGCTCTCCTCACGTCCAACCGTACCAGGGCCTTTGGGGGCTGAAATAATTAAATTCTAATAATATGTTTAAGCCCACCAGAATTGCTGGTGATAAACTTATTCTTTGGTGTTGATAATAATAGAATCGCTTAAACAAAAATGTGTTCGTCCGGACATGTAACGTCTGCAGTCTGCTGAGGCTAAACGTCATCAAGTAACTGATCTTTAACGACCCAAAAATATTGGTTAATTTATGTTTCTTGCGAACGCCAATAACACCAGTTACAAGGACCCAAGTGAGTCCGTTTTTGATCCTAATGCTAATGGTTACATTCTAGATCATACATGTTCTACACCCAGTACATGATGGATACACGGAGAATACATCTAGTAGTTCGTATAAATCTAGATTCTCATTTAAGCTGTGGTTATTATGGTATTTGTACTATTTGTTAATTTCCTTGTTTTTGATTGCACACTCGTTACGAATGCCGAATATAAGAAATTTATTGGTGCTCATCTAGTTCTACCTATATTAGGTGGAACTGTTCTTAGTTGGCACATCATTTCGAATCCTTCTGATTACATACGTACCTAACTCCAATGCTGGACCCGATTAAAGATACCCCAAGTATTCAGAGTTTTACAACACAATGTACAGTAGCAGCTTTTATAGTGGAAACGTGTCAACCTATTCGAATCATAAGTGAAGGGGTCCAGAGATATGTTTGGTAAAATATCGAGAAGTGACTAATGTCGAAGACCTACAAATGTATTGATTTTTGGGATTTATTTACCACTACACGGTTAATGAGAAGTGGTGATTGTACCTCTAAATTTGTTCAGGGATATCTCGTTTATACTTCGGAACCCGACTTGTTCACTTAAATCAGCTGTGATCACAATATCTGTGGAATGTAAATCTTTTAGATTTACGTGATGCAGGTTGGGCTCACTCCTGATCCTTTGAAATATGCAATCTTTTGTAGGTTAAGGAAATAGGTCGCTGCTCATATAATCTAAAGACACATAAGCGTCTATTGATTGACATCAAAATAACTAGTCCTTTATTTTGATCTTATGTTTAATACAACACAAACATAATACAAACTGCATACCAGTGTTAAAATGTCCTCGGGTGCTTAGGACTTCAGTAAAATCTTGAATGCAGTCCCCAGAAACACGGTATACCTTAATATTTAGATTTACGAAATACGTAGTCAAACTTGTCTGTTACTCGATCAGAATCAACCTGCAAACGCTGAAAGAGGTCGTTTAAATGATATATGTGGTTTCAGCAGTACCGCATTGTATCTCGTTTCGATGGAAAAATTCGATAAGTCTATCTTCCAGAGTCCTGTGACTCATTGAATAGAGTAGAATGCCTGACAAATACGAGCTGCCGAGTAAATTGAAGAACGAAATTATACGAAAAAACGGAGAGAGAAACAGGTAAAGTGAACCACGTGCGTTTCTAAAGGCGTTCCTGTATCTGTTGTTGGTTTAACTGGGGATTAGTTAACTGGTACCCATTCCTGCATTGGAGTTGATAGGATGATAGTGTGAAGGAGGAGGATGAAATGTACGTTGTATATTTATTTCTGACATTGATATTCGGACTTTTGTTGGAACTAAACATCTGAAGATGCTTTCAATTTTGTTTAATTGGCTGTTGTTGATAACTGCCACCAGCAAACTTTGCATCCTGTAAAAAGCTATTCGTTTCTTTTAATTAACAGTGGCATGTTTCTGTGTTGGTTGTGATGCTATCCGACAACTCATAAATAAGGGTGGTTCTGTTGAAGGAGCACTTTCTAGGCGCAAAAGTGACCAAGCGTTTGTCACCATAATACAGTTTATAAAGGTGATCGGCATGAGGTTTTAATCCACTCGCTTCTTCAGGACCTTGAAACCTATATAAAACGCATTACAGTCTTCGGTCAACAAAATAATGATAAGTATCGAAATGTTTTTGGTGATACCCAAGAGATCATGAAGCCCGAATTTAAATATTCGGGGATTCACAAAATTTGTGGTCATTGTTAATGATTATTAACATTTTCTACGAAGAACAGAAAATAAACCTGTGGCAAGATCAATGAAACATGAAACATATTCCTGAGAGACGAATCGACCTTCGTTTAACAGTCTCCAAGAATTGATGACCTAAATTGACTGATCTCATGGGGACAGTGTAAGTTATCGCAAAATAATAAACATCAAAAGACGTGTTCCTTCGAAATAAACTTCACTAAATAATTTGGTGTTTCAGATTCATTTTATCTTTACGACTGACAAATAGTTGATAATTGGCGATCACTCTCTGAGATTAATTAAAACCTTTATGGCATTATTCTAAACTGTTCATGTATATACTCATATTCTATCATAAAATCTTACTACATTGCTGATTTACCTTCAAGTTCTTCTTGTAATACACGTGGTAACGTTAATTATCTTTCTTCTTCACAGACATAATTATTAAATTATTCACACATTCCATTTTCCTTTTTTCCTATAAAGTCCATTTAATGTTCCCCTGAATACTATAGGATCGTTTAAATATGGCGAACATAACATAAGTACTGTTGAAACTGATATATAGTTGCACTTCTCATTAAATTTGAAGTGGTTTCTCCGCAGTACTATTTTATCAGTTAGCTCTCTAATAACAATAATAATTATCATTATGATTCTGGTTTAAGACGATGCATATATTCCCTAGTCCATAGATATGTGTTACTCTTAAGTCATTTGATTCATCTCAAAACCGACAGATGTTGCCTGGTATTCTACATCGCAAGCATTTTTAGACTATCCTTTCCAATCCCATGAATAACATTGTCGAAATTGAATTTTAAATGAGCCAACGAATAGTTAACTCACACATATAGTTATGAATCATTCTTGATTATTTTCAAATTAACTCAGTCAACTTATTACCTTCATCTGACGACCAGATTCCGGATATCGTAAGAGCTCTTGAAATGAAGTTTTTTGCGAACCCGAACGAAGTCGGTGATCTCCGTAATATGATTGCTTGATCTCTAACTCTCCAAATAATTGCAAATGGTCTCAAAGTCCTCGTAATGAGCGTTTGTGCTGAAGATTTTCGTCAACTAAATAGAGACGGAGAGCCGTCTTCGGTTTTGCTGTTGCAGTATTGTCCTGAAATCACAGAAAACTCCGAAGGTTTCTCGATCTCAAGTTTGCTAAAGCAACTGTCATTTTGGAAAACTAACACACAAGCATACGTCGGTTACAACCGTAGTGTATAATACACCATTCCATTATGCATCATAGATAAGCTGACTAAAGTTTGTTGCTAATATCCAGTTTCCAGAAAAGTCAATATAAAATGCGTAACAAACTACTGCAAAGAAGCTGCAAGCATTACACATAATGCTACGTTACTATCTCAGATTTATACTCCATTATGGGCCACATGGTTTAAAATACTACACATCCAATAAACATGGAACTCAAAAGTCAGAATGGACAACTTGAAATCCTTACCCTTAGAAAGCAACTGCTTTCTCGTCTTCCCACATTTAAAAGACACATACCTACTCGCAGAGTAGGTATTTTCAAGAAAGACTTTAAAACTGAAAAACAATGAAGGAAATTGGATAGGTAGCATATTTTATTTTTTGTGTTTCTTATTCGTGCTTGTGCATTAGATTACGTTTCACTGTTCAGTGAACTTCATCTCCTACTCCTATTGGTTATTTCAGAAGCTGTTGTTGTACTACTATTCTTCAAACAGTTATTGGACACAGTTTACAGATACCGCAAAAGTTAGAGCCTGCGTCACACAAGTGTAAGGTATGTGGGATATGTAAATATTTAATCACTCATTTGCTGAATTATATATACTGATCAGTCCTGCTTATTTCGGTAAACTGCGGTCTTGCTGTGTCACAACTGTTATTTAATAACAATTATTACTCATAAAAATCCTTTACTTAGTAAGAGAAGTAGGTTTTTTATTTCTCATTGCAGTATGTCTTCGTATAAAAGGTCAATTCTTCTTTAAAAATGTTCACAAACGGTTCTCACCTTGTCTGCTTGAGTAGAGTGCTTCAGTTAACATTCTGACAGCTGAGATAGAATTCTTACTTACAATTTATCAACAAATGATTTTTCGGCGAGACTCTAATTTAGCGACGACCTTTGAACGAATCTTAAATGACCTTGACAATTATTAGCCAATCAGAAGACAGTTTGTATAAAGTGAGAATATATTGTAAGTAATGAATTACAGTGGATATTCTTCTTTTACATGATTTAAAAACTTGTTAAGGTTTGATAAAGGTTCAGAGGCTCTGAATTCATAATGCATATTGTATAGAAACTCGTCCATAGGGTTAGTGCTTAGGGTTGTAGCCTGTCAGTAGACACCTCTTCTCTAAAATCCGATGTAAAAACCGATCGCATGTTAGCACCTTAATCCTAACCTAACCTTAACCTAAACCCTAATTTAACCCTAAATCCTTACCTTAACCCTAACCTAACCCTAACCTTAACCTAACATTAATCTAACCCAAAACCCTAACCTTAGCCCTTAGATTAGGCGATAAGTCGTTAATTCGTCGAGAAAAAGGGGAAAATCCGCATTATATCCCCCGGACAGGCGAAAAAGGCGACATTCTGGAGCGTTTTCCCCTTTATTTCCTCTTTCTTCGCCTTTATTTCCCCTTTTTGAGTTGTCTGGGTAAACTCTAACCTTAACCCAACCCTTACCACTAATTTTAACCCCAAACCCTAACCCTATGGACGAGTTTCTATACAATATGCATTATGAATTCAGAGCCTCTAAACCTTTATCAAACCTTAACAAGTTTTTAAATCATGTAAAAGAAGAATATCCACTGTAATTCATCACTTTCTTGTAATATATTTTTACTTTATACTGTTTTCTGATTGGCTAATGATTGGAATCGCTCAAACGCTTCTCATTGGCTCGTCCTTAAATTAGAGTTTCGCCGTCCCATCTGTTTTAACCTCTCATGAATTACCTCCTCTCTAAAATCCGCTGTGAACCGACCCTATGTTAGCATCGCTTGTTGAACTTGGCTCCGTGACCTTGAAATTGCTCAAACGCTTCTGATTGGCTCGTCGCTAAATTAGAGTTTCGCCGATTTTCCGTATTGTTTTCGGATATAATTAGTCTTTGAGAAAGTAATTCAGTCAAACGTAATAACACCAGAGTATTTTATCATTACTTGTAATGTGAATATAAGATCGTCTGGATACGATATTTTGGGTTGTCTCACGTTAGAGAGTTATGAAGCTTGACACAATTTTTGTTAGAAAATTTTAGTTCAATGGGATGCAAACTCTCGCCCTCCCCCACATTAGATGCCCAAGCTACTGCTGTGACGATTCGAAAACTAGGTTCATCATTCGGCAATTCTATAAAAAGTGGGTAAAGTCCTGAAGTGGTACTGTGTGGAATCTGATTTTCCCTGTGCCGCGTAGTTTTGACGTTATTCCATATACACTTCCATTTATTTTTCTGAAACCACCTAATTTTCGAACAGCTTGGCTATTGTCCATATTTATCTTCCGCAATTTCGCTTCTTCAGAAGCCATTACTTAACGACAACCTCTTATCGTAATAGTTTGGGTTTTGAAATCCATAGCGACCGAATCTCATGAAAATACTAACTGTCTCAATGTACAAGTAGCTAGACTCACTCCTCTGTTGTCTGGTTAAGGTCTGAAGCTGTATACGGGAAATGACCGGGTTTTGTGAAGTGTTCACTAATATATTTGTATTAAAATCACTGCATTTACGCAATTAACTTCAGATTTGTGATACGTAAAACGAATGTTAGAGAAACAAATCTATATCTGTAAGGCGTTATTTCTTAACTTGATAATTTAGCAAGTTTCTAGGAAAACTGATGTACTGAAATTTAATTTTTACTCGGAATAATTTAAGTTCCTAGGTGGTCAACATAAAGCTTAATTGTTTCTGAGCAATCAAAAGCCTCGGAAAAATGTTGGTAAACTTTATATATATTAATTTCACTGTCTTTCTTATCCTTATATTTCCGAATTATAACGTTATGAAAAAAATGATATTTCTGAACAACATCTCCCTGGTTCCGAAACATCTGATGAATACCTGTAGAAAATATCACCTTTGTTTACAGCATATTAGTGACAACGGTTCTTATACTCAGCTGCTGATTGCCTTCATAATTAATTAAACACCGTCGATCTACCTACCTTCGGCTATCCAATGGTTATTGATCCAGTTTGTATGCTTTTAATTTTATAAGAGAATATAGCTTTCTGTTGTCCAAGATACCTTGATCAAACTTTTAACCTTTTGGCCTTTTTCTAGATCATCCTAGATTTCTTTGTTCACTACATCATTATAGTCTCTGGATTTTAATATTTTGAAGTTACAGTCTTCAATAGAAAAAACCAAGGTCAGTCTATAATGACTTGGGTTCTCCTCTGGTTCTTATATTCGTTTGTTCAATGCGATGACGAAAAATTAGATACCCATTTTGTTGGAGGTAAGTTTTTTAAAAAGTCGTAAAGAATAAAAATAACTCTTACTCAGCAAACTTGTTTGGTTCGATTGTCTGTAATGTCCTGTTTCGTAAACTATAGTGACCATGCTATTCCAAGAGAAAGTATATTCTCTCAGCGTACCTTGTTTTATGGTTTATTACAAGCTGATCCTGAATCGTTACTATCCTGATTGTAGTGTATTGAAACAAGCTTGCCTCGTCAAAGTTGTGGCTTAAGCTAAGTAGTGATTTCTGTCATTGATCAGCTGTTTTCCGTGACTGCGAAATACGTCTACTTTCATAATAAAACGGAACAAGACTACTTTTCCAATTCAAGAAAGGCAACAAGTCTGTAGAAGCAGGCTGATTTATTCATCAACCACTAATTAAACGACATCCAGAGTGATAATAATAAATTACGTGTCATTTTAAAAGTTTAGTCAATCAATAAATTTGAATGAATTGAACTAGTGGTTAGTCAGTAATTTAATTTGTGTATGGGATCCCCCAAGTCAGTAAAGCAACTAACTTGACTGAAAAATATAATTAATAACCGAATCATGTATTCGCTCTATTCTTAACACTGATTATGGTTGAAAAATTGTATTTGTATCGAATTTGCATACTACTGTAAAAGAATATCAAGACTCATGGTAAAAATGAAATATATATCACATAGCGTTTTTGGTTTCAGCTTTTGCATCATACTTAATCAATTAGTTGCAGCAAGTTAGTTTGTTTAGTTCATGATAGATACTTTCAGTGGCTCGAATTGTCATAGCAACCGACAGCACAAACAGTAGAATAAGGATTAAGGAAATTGAAAATCATGGGGGTGGCGGGTTTTCAGCTATAACAATTACACTGTTTAAGGATTAGAACTAAAATCTTTAGTAAATAATTTCTCATCTTAAGGTAGTAAACTACATGTATTGTGGTGAAGATTTTAAAGTTTGTGATTTGTTCGTATGCATTAGCCTGACCTTCTTCAGTGTTGTCAGTTTATATTATTGAACTTGTCGAGTTTCGTAAATAAACATTAGGTTGTTAGTTTGATAATACACTTAGCCCATCACATCCTCACCTCTACGCAAAACTTTGCTTCGGTTACTACTGATCTGATGATGTTACTAGTTGGTTCTGTAGTTTTTTAATGAAGATGATTTAACTTGACCATCTTGTTTATTTGTTTTGTAGTTCATCGTATTCCCGAATCTGTCTTTCCAGAAATGCATTTTGAGGATCGGCTTCATATGTATTTCAAAAAAATTGATACTAATAGCAATGGATTCATTGAAGACGATGAATTAGCATCATGGATCTATAAAACTTATGAGTAAGCTCAGTACACCTAGTCTTTTGAAACGTATTATCTTTGAATATATATTCGATTGAAGACCATAACTTTATCGGATTTGCATACGTACGTCAAATTAAGTTAGCGCTTATTAAGCAATCCTTAGTTTTCAAATATACAAAACCAATTTCTCTGATTATTGTATTTTATGCACTACACTACCAACTTTGCTAAAAATAATGAAACTGAATCTTCCTTTCCAAACGACATAAAATTTATGAGTTCTTTCATGTACGGAAGAAATAATGCAGTGAAGCACAGTGATTATATGTCAAACACACTCTCTAGGCTATATGTAAACCGTACTTATTATGGGAGATTCAAAGATACAGTGTGTCGGAATCCTAACTATTGCATGCTGCGACAAACGCTAATTGAAATACTCCTATTTGTTCTCATTTAACCAATTTGTGTTAATGGGGGAATCGGGGGGGGCATAAAGATTCCTATGTAAATTATATGTAAACTTTAATGTCTTCACCGCTATCCCTCGCTGTGAGGGTTTTTTCTGATTTAAAATGAGCCGAGTTAAGTGTAATATTCAATAAATGCCAAACACTGGAATAATTTAAGAGTATAAGTGCCTGAATGTCAGTAGGTAAGGCAATTTCCGAACCAGTAATTATTTCTGTCAATTGTTTTTAACGATTCCAGGAAGAATCTCAGTTTTGCGATTTAATGCTTTGTCTCCCAATTTCTATGACATTTTTGTTAGGAGCCCGCTTCGATTCACAAACGTAGCTAAATGTCTATGTTTAAACTAGCGGTTGAAATAAGGCATATCGACGACTGTGAACCAGAAAACGTTATTTGGTTACGAAATAATTCAAGATGAAAGTAGTAATACAGTTGTAATCAATAAACGGTTCTCACTTAAATAACGAACCTTTATATATGAATTATTCTTTTCTTCACAAACTGCTTCCAACTATAATGCAAGAATGAATTTTTCACCGAAGCCTGATTGCTTCAATCACATACTTTACTTACTCCAGATTTTCTTATTAGATTATCATCACCATATATTGTTTCGGGATTAGAGATGTCGTTAAGCTATTTTAAATGGAATAACTAACCGAGGTGTTACATTTTTGACTTAGTTATTAGTTGAGTACTTAGGTTACCGAATTAATTTAATATTTATCAGTGATAATTTTTTGATACTTACTTTAATAGTGCAGTAGTGGTTAAATGGTGAACACGTCTTGGTTCCAACAACCGATTTACAAATGTAAACCCTGATTTAGGTTTGAGCAGCAAGGTAGAATGATTATGCGTCCTCATATTAAAGGTTTCTCATACCCAAGTAAATTAATTTGCATTTAGTTATAGCTTGGATCAAGTCAAACTCACTGGTTTTCCAATACAGGAACTATTTAGGTTAAACGGTAAGAAATTATTAAAAATCCATTAAATATCAGACAGGTTCCGAATGATTTGACGTGAAATCCACCTATCCTCAAGTGACGCTTCCGTGAGTATAGTCCACTTTAATGGCTTTTTGTATTAATTATTCAGCTTGATGTCCGGTGGATATTTTTAGGTATTCCTTAGTCTGAGAAATCAAATTCATATAACATGTCTTGAAAATGACACTTAAATTATTTGTTTTATCTGAGAACCAATTGCTAATCTGCCCTTTTTTATTTATGAAAACCTCACTAGTTGTAATGTGATTCGAATATAAAACTAAATAGTCTCGCATTATCCACATGTATGTTGGCTAGTATTAGTAGGAAGACATAGATTTGCTCCAAACATTTTACTTATATTTTAAATGAACAATGTACATTCCATATTACAGATCTTTGGATCGTGAGCATGCTGAAAAACAACTTACAAGATTTGATGTGAATGAAGACGGAAAAGTTTCGTTCGAAGAGTATATAAATCAAACGTATGAAACTTCTGAAGAGGAATTAAGACATTCAAAAGACGACAAATCGTCAAAATTTATTTTGGAAGTCAGTGGTGAAATTTTATTAATTTTACGTGGTTGGGTTTATTAAGTGACTAAAAGCATTAGTATTTAACTAATTCCCATAAATTTTTATTTCATCAAGTTTTTGGTTGTCTTATCAGACCTTGGATTCAGAGCTGCAATATTAGTTTATAATTATTTTTAAATAGTTTCCAAACACTAAGAGAACTAGAGACTGTCATCATTTTGTTAAATGATGCTATCTGCTGTAAGTAGTATGTCTGCCTAATATAAACCATCCTCATGAAATCGGTGATAAATAATTATCTCGTGATAGCATGTTAAGCGGTATCAGGAAACAAAGGTGACCACTTTCAGTATGAACCCATATTTAAATATATTAATGGAAACCATACATACTTGAGATGGTGGAGATTTGTAGCTCAGGTGGATGATTTTGGCTTTCTTTTGCTAGCGTTTTTCAGCAAATTCTTTCTTATGACGAGGTGATGCTAACGCCGCACCCAACCCTCCGTCACCGTCTTGGAACTAGAAGTAATCCTAAATGAACTCTTGAGGGTGTCGCTAGCTGACTAGAAGTGTAAACTGATAAAATAAATGAGACCGATTCTACTAAATTAAACATATTTTTTGCATCTTCTAGCTCTTATTATTGTAGACTGATCAATAAGTTAAACATTCTGCGCATGGAAATCAGTTGCTTTTACGAAATTCCTTATTATATTTTATAGTTATTAAAAGATGAACGATTACGTTTCAACTTTGCTGATAAAGATAATGACGGTTTATTATCACTAGAAGAATTCACTCTATTCTTACGACCTGAAAATTATGAAGATATGGCAAATTATGAATTGCAAAAAAGTTTTTCCAGTTTTGATCAAAATGGCGATGGTATAATTACGAAAGATGAGTTTACAAATTTTTGTAAGTTTTTTATTGGTTCTCATACTTTTTAAGCAGATTAGAACCTAATGAGCACATGTATATTTATACTTAAAGTACATTTGTGAAGTTTGTGTGAACATTTTTCTCTTCCAATAAATTTATTACTCTTAGTAATAAAAATTGGCTTTAATGTTCGTCGATTCCTCGTGAAAATTAAAAGCCAATAGAGCTAGTTACGTGTAAAGATCGTAAAGACCGTTGTTGCTACCCCGACCGTTGTTGCTACCTTGACGTGGTGGTCGGGCTTGCCTATCGTGATGAAGCAACCGAGCTATACTGGCTGGAACAACCGTTCCTCAAGGTCCTACCATGTCAGACAGGTCGGTTGAAGAGCGGTAAGACTAAAAGCAACAAACCCAAGGTCCGAAGGCGAAGTCGTACTGCTGACTGTACAGAGGTGTCACAGCAGTAAGGTGTTTCCTTCAGACAACCAGCATGACAGCGATGCTGCCTTCCCACAAGGAGGGGTGGGGTTAGAAAAGGTCGACCCTAAAAATGCACACCTCGCCTTATCCCACGGATATCCGTCTCCGGCGGTAAGGTCTCAATAAGTACGGAGCTAACACAAAAATTACCCATAACAAGGTCGTGTGTGACCGACCTCAAGCAGTTGTCCCTTGGGCACTGCGGTCACGCTCTCAGATCACTAAGACCACCTTTAATCCTAATTCCTTTTCAGGTACCTCCAGAACAACCTTTCCACGGTGTGGGCAACCGGGAAGTGAAAACCACCCTCATACCTCTAACAGCACTCAAGACCACTGTATTCATAATCAACCTTCCTCTTCAATTCCTATTATTCCTCCTACATCGACTTTCAACTTTAAATTTCCTCTCTCGGCTTCCTCCTCAAGTGTCACCATAGCCAACGATTCTAGTGCTCAAAACTCTGTCCCAGGTCTACTGAAACCTCGCTCCAAACTACACATTGGAGCCTTCAACGTACTCACCCTATGTCAAATCGGTCAGCAGGCTTTCCTGGCTAAAACCCTAGAATCTCGTACCATTGATGTATGCTGTGTCTCCGAGACACGCATACAGGATTCCAGTGTGGTCATTCACTTGACCTCACCTCGGCAAAACGGAGAGCCAACGAGGTACACCCTTCGTGTATCTGGTGACCCGATGGCAAGTTCTCGTGGACTGGCAGGTGTAGGCATAGCACTAAGCATGAGGGCCGAACAAGCACTGCTAGAGTGGATCCCCGTCAACAGTCGTCTATGTGCTGTTCGGCTGAACGGCTCCGTAAGAAGTCGGAAAGATAGGGACACACGTCGTTGCCTTTTCGTCGTTTCTGCCTACGCTCCCACCGACAGCAGCTCAGATGAAATGAAAGATGAATTTTACAGAAGGCTATCTGAACTTCTTCAGAAAGCTAAACGTTCAGACATAGTACTCGTAGCAGGTGACTTTTATACCCAGATAGGTAGTTTAAACCAAACAGAAAGGCATTTAGGTGGATATTTTAGTATTCCGACACAGCGAACAGATAATGGTGATCCTCTGCTGCAAATATGCTCAGACAATCGTTTATTTTTAGCAAACACAAATTTTAAGCATAAGGAGAGACATCGTCTAACATGGCGACCCCCTACACCGAACCAACGATGGACTCAAATAGACCATATTGCCATCAGTCATCGTTGAAGAGGATCGGTAGAAGATTGTCGCTCATTCTGGAGTACCTGCTTGGACTCCGACCATGCCCTAATACGGGCACGCATCTGTTTGCGCCTCACTGGACGCAAAAAAACCACATTAAAAAGACCCGTTAGAACTGAGTTGAGTAACGAGAAAACCAAAAGTAGGTTCCAGGAACAACTGAGGTCACACTTAGGTAGTTGTGAAGACGAGGCTGACCCAGATGTTGCTTGGAAGGGCATACAATCAGCTGTGGAAACAGCAGTGACCTCTGTTAATGATTTAAACCACAAGGTTACAAAGAACCAATGGATTTCTTCAAGGTCTGTTACACTGATGGATTCTCGCAAACTCGTCCCATCAGGTTCTGAACATGATGAAGAGCGAAAACAAATCAGATCTAGGTTAAGAAAAAGTTTAAGAAACGACCGTGAGCAGTGGTGGGCATCGAAAGCAAAAGAGATGGAAAAGGCGGCGACTATAGGGAACACAAGACAGCTTTACAGACTAATAAAAGAAACTGGAATTAATAAGTCAAGTGTAAGTGAGATTATATCGGAAAAAGACGATACACTCATCTGCTCCAAGTCCAGGCGTTTAGAACGATGGGCGGAACACTTTAGGGAACAGTTCAGCTGGCCTTCAGCTACTCTACAACTACCCTCCATTCCCAGACAGTGTGAATGGGACATTGAAGTAGGTCCCCCAACTCTAGCAGAAGTTCAAAAGGCTATAGTTAATCTGAAACGAGGAAGGGCAGTTGGTCCAGATGGATTGGCTCCAGAGGTCTTTAAGGATGGTGGTCCAATTTTAGCGATTAGGTTGACTAATATTTTAGCTAAAATCTGGGAGTTAGACGTTATCCCATCTAACTGGTCACAATCACTTATCGTCCCAATATATAAGAAAGGGTCAAAATCATCCTGTGACAACCACAGAGGGATTAGTTTAACAAACATAGTATCTAAAATACTGGCCTCGATAATTATCAAACGTCTAACTAAGACTCGTGAACTACAAACTCGAGAGAACCAAGCTGGCTTTAGACCTGGTCGTGGCTGCATCGACCACATATTCACCATTCGTCAGGTTCTAGAACACAGGCATACCAATCGGCGCCCGACGATAGTGGTATTTCTTGACTTAAAAGCAGCATTTGACTCGGTAGACCGCGAGACTCTGTGGCAGTGTCTGTCATTGAAAGGCGTACCTCAGAAGTACATAAACCTTGTGAAGGCTCTTTACTCGAACACTACTAGTCGAGTGAGAGCTTATGGAGAACTGTCATCTACTTTTGCAACCTCAAGTGGTGTCCGTCAAGGCTGTCCACTTTCTCCATTTCTGTTTAACTTCATCATAGACCTACTGATGGAAATAACACTCTCGTCGACTGAATTGTCGGGTATTGATCTCCTTCCAGGAGATCCACTTATCGACTTAGAATACGCAGATGACATAGTCCTGTTTGGTGAAGACGCTGACAAAATGCAGAGTCTTCTGGTAGCACTAAGCAACAATGCCAGAATGTTTGGGATGCGCTTCTCTCCCTCTAAATGCAAGTTGTTGCTTCAGGACTGGTCTGGGTCAACACCTGAACTAAGGATAGGGAGTGAAGTAGTTGAACGCGTTGACAACTTCACTTATCTTGGAAGTCTGATCAGCCCTAATGGGTTGGTGTCTGACGAAATCTCAGCACGGATTCGAAAAGCTCGTTTGGCGTTTGCCAACTTACGTCATCTTTGGCGGAGGCGAGATATCCGTCTATCAATAAAAGGACGAGTATACTGCGCGGCAGTCCGTTCTGTTTTAATTTACGGCAGCGAAACATGGCGATTAAGAGTAGAAGACACTCGTAAGTTATTAGTATTTGACCACAGATGCCTTAGAAATATTGCTGGCATCTGCTGGGATCACCGGGTAAGTAATAGTGAGGTTGGACGCAGGGTATTAGGGAATGATGGTAAATCAGTTGATGAGGTTGTGAATCTTCATCGACTGAGATGGTTGGGCCACGTATTACGTATGCCTGAACACCGATTACCACGACGTGCAATGCTAACGGGTGTTAGAGATGGTTGGAAGAGAATTAGGGGCGGCCAAACCAAAACGTGGCATCAGTGCTTGAAGTCACTAACTTCTAGTCTGAGCCATGTTGGTAGATGCAGACTAGTTGGTTGGTGTCCGCGTGACTTTCGTAACCGGTGGTTGGAGACTCTTGGTGACATGGCTCAGAATCGATCACAATGGCGTCGGTGTATACACTCTGTGTCTTCCCTTAAACTAAGAGACTAAAATCATTTCATTCTTTCTGTCTACGAACTAATTCTTTCTTCCTATACTATATCCTTATTGCAACCTTTGACCTAACCACTCCTATGAATCCGCTGTCCATCTTGCTGTGCTAATGAGGTATGGCAACCTGGACCGATGCACATATGTGCCTGGTCCTACGTTGTAGCTGACTGACTGAAAGATTTTGAAGTCAAAAAATGAAGTCAGTGCGTCCATAACCATTACGATAAACCTTGTTTCAAAATTTTGTCTTTCAATGACATAAATTGACGTAAATTTTTGAGACATACTATGAATAAAATGGGCACATCTATTTAAAATATGAGTAGTAAAACTAGTTCAAGTGAAATGACCATGACATTTCAAGGAAGGGGAATTTCCTCACAGGAATAGAGCTTCACCTAGTGGCTGATAGAAATATGAAAATCAAGGATAATTAAAATAACCCATTGTGTCATTCAATAAAAATTAAGAGAGTTCAGCGCAGACAATTTTTTCGACGAAATCATTTATTGAAACTACATTCGTATTTACAGTTGAATGGTAAATATATATCCATAGGATGATAGAAAAGATTGCATTATAAAATGATTCGCGACTCCAAATATCACATAAGGTTGAGTAATAATCAGGGAGTTTATTTATTTTAATTTTATTTATTTTAACCTATAGATATTGGTACAAGGAGGCACCAAATACATATGCCCCACACAAATCTCATTTGATATGTGTGAGGGCTGTGATACTATCCAGGTGCCCAAACCGAAGCAGGTGGTTTCCTAGGGGTCCACACCCGGAGTCTTCGACCTGCAAGTCTGATCCACAAAGCAGTGGAGCATCGTAAGGAGATGCAGTCCCATGGTAGCCGGTGACCAACGATTGGTTTCTACGCCATTTGTTCCTTCAGGATACTGGAGCCCATGTGCACCAATGGTTTGAAATCAGGGTTTTCCAACTCCTCTAGGTGGACTCTCTGTGTCCAACAACCGGGTTAAAGCGCCGGAAGTTCGCTTTTCGTCCTTTCAATTTCGTAAACAACACCCCTGCTACAAGAAGGCAATGAATAGAACTTCCCTGGCAGAGGCTATATACGCGTGGCCATGTGAGAGCATTCCGAGAGGAAGAGCGGACTCTCCCCACTCTCGGCCGTACCAGGGCATTTGGGGTCTGGAGAAAAATTCTGGTTCAGAATTATGAAAGATAATTGTCTACGTGACAGATATGAAGAAAAATGAAATACTAAAGGTCTTAATAATAACCGAACAATAATCACGACAATCTACTAAAGCATAATAATAACTGACGACGGTTTAAAATTACAAGACTCTACAAAAGGGAACTCGGGACAAGAGAGGATGAGAAGTTGGACGTATCGTTTTAGTACGCAGAGTTCGGGCTTGAATTGGTGAATCACCAACTCCTCAGCAGTGCATAAATTTTTTATCCGACCTCCCTTCGACCCAGTTCCTTTGATTGTATAGATTATTTTAAACGAAAACTTCGGAGCGACGCGTCTGCAGTTGATTAGATACGCCTGTATTGGACTGGTAACTGTTTTGCATTCTCCTCTTAAGAGCTACTCCGGATATTGTTAAGAGATGCGTTTGGGAAGTGGTCGCTTTGTGTGGCCAATGTAACCTGTCCCACAGGATCAGGTAAATCAAGTAATATATGGGGGAATTCGATCGTCAGGAACTAAAGCGAAAATCGAATATAGAAATAAATGTCAAATTTAACAGTTTTATCTCCTGAAGCTCGTTTGTTATCGAGATTTTTGTAAGATACCTTTATGTTTTAGTCTACCTCATACTAGTTCTTAATTTAAAAGTTTTTCATGTCTGCTTTTTTTAACCGCGTTGGTAATGTGTCCAACCTTACACTAAATGTAAGAATGTATAGTTTTTCGCCTATGAATGTATGTATAATTGTGTTGACATAAATTCATTCTTTTCATCGTACTCATCTGTCATAGAAAGTGATGATTCTGTGTATTCCGGGATAGTTTAGCGATATTATTATTTTACGGTCGATTTTCTACAAAAAAGTTGCAGTTATATTCATTTGCATATGAATTAATGCATAAGATATTATGGTAGCTAGGCATTATGAAGTGGAGCATTCCCATTTCACAAACATCCGAAATTTTAATTTCTAACTGGAATATCACAAATATATTATTATTTTGTTATTAGTTTGAGGGTATTGGTTTATTTTCTCAAGGTGTCTAATAAGTATAAGTGAATTAGTCTACACTCTGAGAAATATCACAAAGCTAACACTTCATCTAAAAGTATATGATTTAGTGTCTTGTATTTTACTAATAGAAACAAACGTTTGTTTGTCAGTAAGTCTTCTATAATTTATTTCTTGTTTAAAACTCACTTAACGTACAATGTGGATCTGCTACTGTGGTTTGTAAAGCTCCTATATCCACTAGTGTAATCAGAGATTGGGAGAATGCTCTAGAATGGGTGTGTGTGTGTGTGTTGATCGTTGTTCCCAATAAAGTTATATGAAGTACCTTTACTACACAGATACTGGTGCCACAAAAGTGAAAGGGCGAAAGCCCAAACCCAGTACTTGAAACAGGTTGATACGTTAAATCGATCCAACTTAAAGAGTTGAGATATATACCAACGGTATAAATGGGTTTTAGAGACTGAAACAGATATGTGAGGTATGAACTTATACTGATCATAGACTACCATTTAAATGCTTCTTTCCACCTTACACCACTGTCTTATGGATTAGATCTCAAGGTTAAATGCTCAGCAGCTGGTTCCCTAAGAAGCTCTAGAATTATCGTGGTCTTTACAGCATTCGTGTCCGTCTCAAAACAAAAAAAATCAAACCTGAATTCTTTTATGTTTAATTGGGTTAAGATTTCCTTCGTCACTTATAAGTGAATAAATAAACCAAATGTGAATTACTTAAAATCTTATATTTGAGTACTTTTTGATGATTTATTTTTTTCGTGAATAATTCTGCAATACTGATAACTACATATTAACGTATAACGCTTAATTTTTGAAAAAAATTATAATTTATTTAGCCTATCGAGGTGTATCACAAGAGAATTATTTACATGAACAATTCAGTAATCTTGACGTTGATAAAAATGACATACTCATTCTGGATGAATTACGGCCATGGTTATTGCCTTGTAAGTTAATCATGATTGTCTTGAGAGAATGTCGCAATTTGTAGATGACATTCATTCTACAACATCATGCTTTAAACTCACCATGTTTAATCTTTTATTATCTAATCCCTGAGTTAACAAATATTGGGATGTAAAATTTTATGGGATGATACGTGCAAAGGAAGTCTGATCCTCCGTAACCTGTGTTTTAAGGTAATAATACTCGTTCAGTTATTATCCCTATTGTACCCTAACAGGGATTGTGAGATCTCAACCATGATTAAGGTGCTAAGGTAAGAAGTCGAACATCTTAGGCTTAGAGAAGTTAGATTTCACAAGCATATAGTAGAATCGCTGTCACCGATTCGTGCATCAAATGACAGCTAGAATAACGTTGTGACGGCCCAGAAGATGGCGTATGTTAATATGAACCTCTCCAACTTCCGCTATATACAAATTGATATAATCTACCACATCTTTAATAGCACTCATCCTACTACAATAGAATTATTCTGTTTATCAAAGAATACAGTGAAATCACCAGCTTAATCACCAAATAGTATATTACATCGTATTCGTCATCTAATAATTATTTGTACTTGATAAACTGTTGATAGCCTGGTTATTAGCAAATAATACACAATTGGATTTGTAGATACCGATTCATCTTCAACAATACACATATTATTTCTTATTGTAAAATATACTTGTTATTTATTATTACTTCTAAAAAAACTTAAATTATCTGAATTGCTTTTTCATTTAGCTTTAAAAGTGGCTGCAAAATCAGAAGCAACACGATTAATGAATCTCACAGATTCTAATAATGACGGTAAACTTACATTAGAAGAAATCTTGGCTACATCACATTCATGGAAAGATAGTCAAGTTGTTAAACATGCGCGGTCATTATGGGATGAATTGTAGAGGTAAATGAGCATAACGTATCTTCTACTATTATCTCTGTAACTCAATTATGTCCAGTTATGTAATCTGGTCGTTGTGTGTAGTATTTTATCATTCCGTATCTTTTCAAGTTGATAATAAAACATTGAATTTCTCTTTGTGGCATTTACTGAACGTCTGTGGATTTTCATCTTTTCGCATCTTTTCTCCTCAATCTGTTGTTACAAATTCACTTTTAATTTGTTCTCACTAAAAACCATAAATGCAGTTGTATATTTTGTTTCTTCTTCTCACATTCGCCATTTGTTCTTGTTACTTTTATCAGTTATCTTCAGCCAAATATTTTGTAAAAATGTCTTTTGTGGTTAGATAGACATTGTAAGACTATTCTCTTCATCATTCGACTAACCATGCCACTTACAGGAACTACGTTGAGATAGTTGAATAAATCAGACATTTACAACAAAAAATACTTTGAAAAATACTAGCTCAACTTTCCAAAATGAAGCTCTGATTCTTCAATAGGTAGTAAATCTAAGGTACTGGAATCGATTTGCGTTCACTTAACTTATTAATTTATTCGATTAATAGATTTATTTGTGATTAGTTTATCTCAAACCACTTAGATTGATAAACCCCACTCGTTTAGGTATGGTTGATGGATGAAATCAAAATTCTGAGTGGCTACACGTTTGCTTGTCATGTTTTGTAGTTGTCGAACTTTAATACGCAATTTCTGAATAGGCCCTAATTTTGTTATCATCAAAAATGTTTTGGTCAGCCCACATATGAATGATAAGTTGGTAGGTAACTTTTATCACACTAATTTTCTTCTCAAGTCTCTCCATCTTATTGTAAATTTAGTTGAGTATAATTTAAGGAGAAACTAGTTAGTTTAGTAACTGTATAATTTATGTAGAATGAAACATCAGTGATTGGTCTAACTTAATATAAAATGTTTATCTGAATGGAACTATTCACAGAATAATTCACTAAATATATAATCATAGATAATATCAATTTCCTGATTAGTGATTTATGACTTGTAAATGATAGATTCTATGTCAAATATTGAGTTCTAGGTTGATTCCTTAAAATGAATCCCCCAATTTATCACTCAAGAAAGTTCAGGAAAATTTAATAAGAATCCCAGTAATTTCCAAAACGTACATATACTTATGTTGAATTGACCTTACATTTCATCCATTCGTTTCAGCCAATTTTACGGACAAAATATTTTTATTTGAAACTTCAAACTACTCACAAGTATTGAAATTCCGACCGTGAAAATCAGAATAACAGATGTTGCTAAACACGGAAACTCAAAGCATCTCGTTATCAATTGGTTAAGTAAAATAAGTTGTGCTATTGTTTTTTAGGGGATTTCTTTCAGTAAGTACCACTTAGCTTTTGTTCTATTTATAAACAAAGATGGATGGTGGCTAGCAATGGAATCCAGGTCGCGTGTTTCGTCCTATTTCGGACTCGTCAGCTGGATGTACCTGCATCCCAGACTTGACGTTCACTCCAGGAGATACAAGCAATCATTATCAAGTGAATTTGTGGTTTTATTTAGTTTTAAAAAAACCTAACTTTCTCCCTTGAAGCTGAATTTAATAAATGTGAACCCCTGCTATGCATATTTTTTCGCTAACTATTTAACAGCAAATGTCCGATATAAATTATTTGCTGAAGTGACATATATGTAGCCTAGATAGATTTTCCAAGCGACACCGAAACTCATTAATCTCTGTTCATAGTTTCAGGTGTCTAAAGCTTCATAGAAAATCTAGTCGGTGTAGTTCGCTTCATTGTATGTATGCAATACAAGTCGAGTACCTAAAACTGTCTAGACTTTCTGTGTTTCTTCATAATCTGAAGGTGGTTTAACACCTTGAACTCGGCGTATTGTCACTATCCTCTAACTCTATACAATAGTTTCATGTTACCATCGTTTACACAAAGCGTACTATTAATTATGGTTTTTATTCTACATATTACTTTCAACAATAATAATTGTTTGACGGATAGATGTTTATCCGATTACTTAGGTTTTCTTAAGTATTAATATTGACCTAAATACTAAGTTAACTGAATGTATTTGAAAAGAAATTTGTATTCACCACCTGTTTATCAGTGTCTACTTTTTTTCTTAACGGATATATATTAATAAATGGAATGGACTGGAACAAGTGACTAGATGTATGCTTAGTAGTTTTTGTCTAATTGTTGCTTTTTTTCTGCCTAAAAATTCCTTTATAATCTAATCTTAATTCTGGATTTTATAGTTATAAAATATTATCAATTAGCTTGTCTCCAAAAGTTTATATTCATATTTTTATGTAGATAGTTGGTGACTAAATAGAAGGCGAGAAAATACACGTTGTCGTATTTACAGAACCAGGTAAAGATATGTAGACCGTACCAGTGTAGTGCGTGAAGTAAAAAGTTAGTTTACTTCCACAAATGTTGATAGTTTTTGGAATTTTTAGCTCAAAAGGATGATTTTAGAGTTGTTTTGCTTTATGGACTAGATAATTTTATCATGAAGGCTAAATTCCTTATGGGCAATATAAGAGAATATTCGTGAAAGACATTAGGTACCAGGATTTCTTCTTAAGTTTTTAGCAGTTTATTCTGTTCCTCTAAAGTGTGATCAGTTAGTTTGGTAAGTTCTAGAATTCAATGGATTTAAGCTGTTTGCTAGTTTGGTTTATTAAGATTGCAGATCATTATTTATGTTGCTATACTTTCGGGTAGTTTACACGACTCTAGCCCCTTACGTAGTCTTATAAACAAGCCTAGGTTCATAAACCGGAACTAACCGCAATATAAATCATAGATATTGTAACCGCCGTCTTAATTTTTCAAGTATTGAGCTTCCTAGAGTGATAGGAGCCTAAATGTCGCCGAGAAAGCCTTTATTGAAAACATTCGATGTCCAACTTTAACAGTTTAAGCTTTTCTTCAAAATTAACTGGTCATCTAAAGGAAATAAATTTCTACCACGTAGTTGGTTTAGTTTAATGTATTTGATAAAACTCGTTTCAATTTCATTGTGGTAAAGTATGGTTTTTGGATGTACTTCTCTCCTGATGGCTTTCAGCCAGTCAGCCGAAGAAACAAAAATGAGGAAACTCCGCATAACTTTTATTCTAGTCGAAGACTTTTTGATTTGAATCGACAAGTGCATCTCTGTGCTAATGTGGTGTGGCAACTCGAACTGATGTACGTACGTACGAAGTTCTACGTTGTTACTGACTGACTGAAGACTTTTTCAGTAATGCACTCTCACACGTCTACATATAGAAACTGGGACTTTGAAATCAATTGACTAGTCACTTATAACTGGAATCATTTCACCAAAATAGAGATTCCTGTTTATTATTTGACCTGATATAATATTTCAAGGCAATATTGAATATCTAGTCTTTTATTGAACAGTGAAATGTGCATCTGCAGTACATATTTTGTAGCTTTCGATTAAATAACGACAATTAGAATACTAAAAATCATTTGAGGGCTACATCAGTAACATTATTCATACGTTCGTTTATTTTTATAATATATCCTAAAGATCACAGCATACTGCATTAAACAAAATACAGTAATTATATATTGCTGTCTCTTAAAGATCTGTTTGTATTTATTCCAGAAAGTTATTGTTAGTTGATTACAAGCTGTGTAGACTTTCATGTGCAAGTTTCATTGAATTTCAGATATGTTAGTACGTATGTAATTTATTCAGATCGATTTTTTTTCATACTTTTGTTTGCAATGAAATGTTTTTTTCATCTAATGAAGAACAACACGAAAATGAATTTGGGCGGATGATAAACTGTTCAATGTTTTTATTTGTTTATGGTCGTTCACTAAATGTTATAAGCCGTCAGTTTCAGCCCATATGACCAGTTATCTAGTGGGGACTTCAGTTGATCATGATTTTGTCCGTCACTTTAAATTAAATCATCCTCACAACAATTCGAACTGTTATCATAAAGGTACCTCAATAGTTAAAGTAATCGTAATATTTAGTGGCCAGTTGTACGTTTATTAACTTTGTCCCTTCTAATCATGCTAATTTCACCTGTATGCGGGTAATCCACTTAAGATAACTATATTTCAACGTAAGTCAGGAACGTTTGCCCTATTTAAAAAGAGGAAATACCAGTTCTGTATAAAAAAATTGAATATCAATGTTCTGGAAGTTTTGGGTTTATGGATGATAGTCGTATGCCTGAAGCGTATCATGTTTTCCATGTATTTATATTCGAAGGTTTAAAAATAAAAACAAATCTTCATGAGTCCACTGAAATAATAAAAAATGACTCGTAAACATACTGAGAAAAGTACCATGTTATAGTCCATGCAACAATTATCCAGCTACATGATGAATGTCTTTCAAAGTTATTTTGTGAGATAAATGCTTGAATTATTCCATCGATACGTTATTTTCAGCTAACTCTTGTCTTCAGTTTAGAATACACCACAGATTCAAGAGATCCTCATATTGCCAACCGCCACTTAATTTGCTGATTCATGCGGCATCACTCACGAAAATGTAACCACTAAGATAATGAATGGTTCTACTCAACGTTTATCTTCAAGTTATGTAAATACTGTTTCATCTTTTCAAAGTAAGTTTCTACAGGGTGGATTTCTGAGACACTTCACCCTTAAGAGGGTCTAAAAATCACTTCGGATTTTTTATAAGATTTTCTCAAAACTTGATAAATGAGTTTATCGTAACTTCAGATAAGTGCAGTTCCACAATGAAATGTACCTGTCATCGATGTTTCTAAATGACCAACTAAGCGTGAATATATGATATCTGTAAAAGTAAAAGGGAAAATAATCATTCATTATATAGCAAAGTTCTTACTTAAATGTCTATTTAGTACGAAGGTTATGAATTCAATCAACCATAATCGCTGAAATTCATGCACCACTTAAAAAATTCCGGTCACTGATCACCTTTTCCTATGGTCCGGAAATGGAATTTAGTGCATATGACATATATATGTATGTCGAAAGTAAAATGTGAGATATTCGTACTTCATCTTTTTGTCATAAGCTTTAAAATACTAGTTTAAATAACTTGCCATATGTCATATACATACCTCAGTGATGTCAAAGCAACGTAAATAGATAGTTTTGTTTTACTACATGTTTGTTTTATCCTTCTTCTTCTTCTTCTTCTTCTTCTTCTTCTTATTATTATTATTATTATTATTATTATTATTATTATTATTATTATTATTATTATTATTAATGCCTTTATTCAGTATTATATTTTTGGTACAATATAGAATTATCAGCAGAAAGTATTTCATCAAGTTTTTTTATTCCTTAGTCGATCTTGACAATAAATATTGAATGATCGCCAGTTAGATGTTGGCAGTTCAGGAATCGACATCTGATTAATGTATATTCTTTTTGATGCATATTGCCATCCATCATGATGTCTCCGATTGTACATTTTTGTATCATGTAGTTTGTAAATTTTTCACAAACGTACATGAATAGGTTATGCGACTAATAGGCATAATGATTTGTTAAACAAACAAGAAAACAGATAACTTGTTGAAATATCCAGATGGTAGGAACAGGTAGTCCAGATATTCAAACAGGCCGCGTATTCACCTATGCTATGATACATAATTGTTTAAACCAGTGAATT